GCCTTGCAGATGTAGGGCTTTCCCAGAAGTCATAGTGAGCTTTATACTTCCACTTCCTATTATTGGTTTAGTGGAGTCATCTGCTAAGCTTATGCTTCCTCCACGTGATTCCTGATAATTTGAAAACCAAGAGCGATCATTACAGACGTGTATATTTGCTCCGGAATCCAGATACCAATCAGTGGAAGAAGTTAGAGAATTTACAAGATGAGGTGATGGGGCTAACCTGAAGGAGGTTGGATTCTCTTCAATCATATTAACTTTATTTGATCCATTTCCTTTAGGGGCAGGTTTAGCCGGTTCCTTCTTCCGAAAGAAACAGTTGGAAGAAATGTGGTTGGTTCTACCACAGACAAAGCAGAACTTTCCATCAGACTTATGGCTGGAAGAATTGGAATTGGAAGAATTTGTTTTGAAGGAAGATTTATTGAAAGATTGTTGGTTTTTCTTGAATTTCTTCCATTTGGGTTTGAAATTTCTAGATTTAGGCTTTTCCTCTACCAAGTTTACTTTAGCTTTTGATTCATTCTTGGTTTTGGAATTCAGCCTATGCTGGTCTTCAATACGAATGGCCTTGAGGGCCTCAGTTAAGGTTAGATCTCCTTGCTTGTGTCGGAGATCTCCAGCAAATCTAGACCAGGAAGGAGGGAGTTTATCAATCAAACAGGAAACTTTATAGTCATCAGTAAAAGTGTTTCCTTTTGATTGGAGATGACGGATGAAATCTAAAAATTCATGAATTTGTTCATTAATGGGCTTGTCATCTACCATCATGAACTTATTGAAGGACGAAGAGGTGAAACGCAGAATTCCGGCATCATCATAGCCATATTCTGCTTCAAGAGCTTGCCATAGGTCTTTTGCACTTTTGAACTCATAGTATATGTCATAAAGGTTGTCTGCAAGTGCACTAAGAATTCTATGACAACAATGATAATTAATATCTTCTGGTTTCATAGAGCTAGATAAAGAGCTAGCACCTGAACCAGAAGTGGAAGGAACAGACTGTTCAGGATCAGGAGTCAAAGGTTGAGTACCACTAGAAGAAGACTCAGGAAAGTCAATGGCTGATAAGAGACCTAAGGTAGTGAGCCAGTATCTCATCTGATTAGCCCACCGTTTATAGTTGATACCGGTGAACTTCTCAGGTTTGACACTTTTTGAATGATCAATTGCCATAAGTCCAATTTGAGTTTTACTAGTCTAGGTAGTTGAAATCTGATTGAATAAAAGATTTTGTCAAAACTAGCTACTAGACCAGAAATTTAATTAAACCTGCTTTAAATCAAAAACTCTGAAAGTAAAAAGATAAAAGTTTTACTCGGGTAGTTTGGCCAGGTAAGGATAGTACTAGAGGTTGATCAAAGATCTATTAAGTACCTCGTTTCTTGCAGAGCGCGTTACGCAACCCTTAAACCTTTCCTTAGACACCAACTAATCCCAGAAAAAAAAATGATAATTTTTTTTTTTTTTTTTTTTTGTTTTTAACTAATTAAGATGCAACAAATTAAAGCAGTTAACTAATGCAGCAAGAAATCACAACATATAAATTCGGGTGAACAGTAATAATATTTTTTTTTAATTTTTTTTTATATATATTTTTTTTTTAATTAACTTAACAGCAAGAAATCATCTATCTTCTAGATTGCTGTCAAATAAAACAATATTAGGTTAACTGAAAATAAATGAGTTATGAAAATTACATAATAAATGCTGCCGTTACAGAACGTGTAAAACGTGCAAAATTAAAAGCTTGAGAAGCAAAAGGGTGTGCGTGGCGTGGCGTGCGCGCGCGCGCGCGTGTGTGGTAGAAACGCAAAGCCCACAAAACCCAAAACACTATTCAAAGCCCATTAGGAAGTAAACCATTATAAACCACTTGAACTTCTTCTCAACTTCCAATGTGGGACTATTCACAAGGCAAAATTGCCTTTTCCTTAAGAAATGCTAACAAGATTTATTATTCTGGAGCAGTGAACTTCAAAATTCTTCAACTACAATACAAATATATATCATGATCATTTCAAAGTCATAAATTAATCAGCAAACAATATGATATAATTAAACAATAATTAAGTTTTATAATGTCAAACTTGGATCGAACTTCCATCCTCAGTTAATAAATATTGGTGACAAATTAACAACACAAATGTAGGAACATGTATTCGTAACAGCTTGCGATACGAAAATGTCGATGATTGATTGGAATTCACAGTAGAGAAGATTACTAACCTCGAAGAAAATCTTGTTCGAATCTAATCAAGGGAAATCTTCGCCAATATTAGGGACGCGTTATGCATGAACCTGTAAATGGAGTATCTAAATTATTAAATCCGTACTCTTAAAGTGGGGAAAAGGCCAAGCTTGCACCTCAATTCCAACAGATATCAAATGTACTGTGGTGACAGTTGTCAAAGCAAGGCAATGAGACTCACACGTATAAAGTAGCATCTTAATTTGTTGTGAGTGCATTTTGGTTACTACATGGATAAATTAACACGTGTGATTGCAACCTTGCAAACTCACATGCATGTATATATATTGACACTGTGCATGGATATCTAGAATTTTTGAACTTATTACGTCTTTAGGAACGTGATGGTGACTTCATTTGTCAAGGGGGAAAAAACAAGCAAAAGAGGAAGAATAAATAAGAGAGGACGTTCTCTTAACACGTGCGCTATCCAGCTGAGTACATCTTAATAAAAAGGTGTCCAAAAGCCGCCGGGGGAGGAAAATTCTCAGGGTATAACTCGCGTCCAAAAGCCTAAGGATGGATTAGATGCGGGCTAGGACCTAGCGAGCCCCAGTGCCATCCTCATTAGCCGTGCAGCCCCCTGCGTCCATGCTGGACGCACAATCTGGAAAGCGCGTGGGTGCGCGCCACTCTGGCCTGAGCTGGAGTAGAAGGAAAATGATAGAGGCACACCCTTAAGCACACCACCAACCACACTCCCTCCCCTTCACATGTAAGGCCGCTGCACTGTAGCAAGCGGGGGAGTGTGGTTGGTGATGTGCCTAAGGGTGTGCCTGCAGCGCCCCCCGGAGTAGAAATCCGTGATATGACGCATTCTGATACTTGCAGTAAGAAAAGAGTGTTGGGAATATAAGTTGTTTAGAGTGTAATTAGCACAAAATGCAGTTTTAACAGAATTAGATAATGATTCAAAATAGATATAAAATTAAACTGAGTTTAGAATATAGCCTGATGGTCGAGGCGTGCAAGCACTGTCCCAAGAAACTAATTATCCCCTCTCGTACAGGGCTACGCGGCAAAAGTTCCCGGAGATACAACGACCCTCGGTCAGGCGACCTCCTTCTCGTCGGCACGAGCTTCAAGAAGGTTTTGCGAATTCTTCAAGACTTTCAGGGAACCAGCAGAATACAGTAGCAAGTATAGAGTAGAGAAGAAGAGGTTTTGTGCTTTTTCACACTGTGTTTTCTACCCTCGCAGCTTGCTGTTTATATAGAGGTTAAGAATGAACGTTTCTAATTACCGAATTAAATCCTCATAAAAACTATTTTCCGTTTTGATTCTGATTTAAATCTCATGAATATTACCGTTTCAAAATTTAATTCTCTTAACCGTTACAAAATGTTTATCACATGTTAATTGTTCAAAAATAAATATTACATTTTAATTATTCAAAAATAAAAATGTAGCAGATTAAGGGCCCATTAATCCGAAGCGGCATTCGTGCCCGCAGGTCGTGTGCGCGCGCCACTCGAGCCCGAGCCCGGCCTAGCCGGCGCGCGTGTGTGTGGTGTAGAGCATAACCTTTTATTTTCTTCTAGGCATAGGAGAGAAATGGAAGGCTTATAAAGACCCTTTTTTTCTATCTCATTTCCTATGTGGGACTAAACTTTTCCTCTTTTCCTCTACAAGCCCAAGTTTTAAGTTATCTTTATTATATAACTCCAACAAAGAGAAGAGGAGATCGCTCAAAATGAATCGCGTTCTGATACCTGCGGTTCTCTTTTTTTTGGAATCAAATAAATTTTATTTGCGCACGTTCGCCTATCGGAATTCGACAAATTGGTATAACATCAATTATAATTATATTTTGTGTTTGTTACCCAGAAAATAAGTAATCCGTCTATGAACATTAGTGATCAGTCCATGAATGGACAAAGATTGTTGTCACTAGTTGAAGTATTGCACACTAGGCATCGAATTCTTTTTTTTTTTTTTTTGTCTCTGTATGTGCTTCCCTGCTGACTTACCATTTGTAATCCTATGAAACTAGGGGCAGGTTCTAGTTGGGTATTATCCAACAGGAGAAAATGCCCAGCACTTTTAGAACGTACGTACACGTATTCATGAATCCAAAATCCCATCCACTTTGGTGCTTATCATCGATCGAGAATGAGCCCGAAAAGCACCGTCACATGCTTCTTTCTGATGGGCGTACTGTTTTTGCTTCTTTCGGACATTCTTCTTCTGAACAATTTTTCAAAACAGTCTTATTTCTTTTTTTAATTTTTAAAATCAATCTTTTTTTTATTTACCAAAACCGATCCGTTTTTTGTCACGTCAGGCTAATCACTTTCCTAAACAGTCGGGGTTGCCAACCCCGACTATTTAGGACATAATTTTCTAGGGTTTAAGGCTTCTAATTGGGGGTTAACACCCTCCTAAATAGTCGATGTTGGCAACCCCGACTGTTTAGGAAAGGATTAGGCTGACGTGGTAAAAAACGGATCGGTTTTGATAAATAAAAAAAATGGTCGATTTTAAAATTTTATAAACAAAATGGGCCTGTTTTGAAAAATTGTTCTTCTTCTTATACCTTCTTTGTCGTCGTCTGATGGGGATAATTCCAATCGATGTGATTTACTGATAGCACATAAAGATATGTGCATCTTAAATATGAGTTGTTTTTTCCCTCTTTTCATGGCCAACCCCCACCTATATATATACCTCCCCGTATCCCCTCTCTCTCTCTGCAATATTCACAACATTTTCTCCCTCTAAAGCGTTCCTTCCGCCTTCTTCTCTCATGGGCCGTTGCATTTGGGTGAACGGCCCACTAATCATCGGTGCGGGCCCATCAGGCCTCACCGTCGCCGCCTGCTTAAAACAACAGAACGTCCCCTTCGTCATCCTCGAGCGCTCAAACTGCATTGCCTCTTTCTGGCAGAGCCACACTTACGACCGCCTGAAACTCCACTTACCCAAAAAATTCTGCCAGTTACCCGACTTCCCATTTCCTGCACATTACCCAGAATACCCCTCAAAAGACCAGTTCATCAGGTATCTAGAGTCCTACGCTCTGAAATTCGAGATCAAGCCGCAGTTCAAGGAGACAGTGGAATCCGCCAGGTACGGGGATGGGATTTGGAGGGTGAGGGTGCGGAAGGAGACTGAAGAAGTTGAGTATGTTTGTCAGTGGATTGTTGTGGCGAGTGGAGAGAACGCGGAGAGCTCGGTTCCTGAATTTGAAGGGATTGAGGATTTTGAGGGGATGAAGATTCATGCTTCTGATTATAAAAATGGTGAGGGGTTTGGAGGGAAGAAGGTTTTGGTTGTGGGCTGTGGAAATTCTGGGATGGAGGTTTGCTTGGATCTTTGCATCAATGGTGCTCTGCCTTCAATGGTGGTTCGAGATTCGGTTAGTGTCAATTTAATGCAACCGTTCCGTCTGCACTGACAAATGCAGTTATAACTACAGTTGCAAAAGCTCCTCCAGTTGTAGTTGATGATTCTTTCGTAGGTTGTAGTTTGCTTTTTTTCCTTTTTTTTTACCTTTCTTTTTTTGAGATGCAAATGAGATTTAAATTATAATACTAGTGGTAACCAGTCTCCGACATAAGCTCTGAGAACCTTATACGTTAGGTTAAACGACTACAATTACAACTGACATGATAAATTGAGAATTCTAAAACTGAACGAATCAACTGCAAGCGTCGAATGCGCGCGCACTATTCATACGTCTCTCTTTTGTAGACACTACACAGAATGACTTACATCTCTTTGTACTTGATTCAGAAACCTGTATTAATATTATGTATCTATTTTCTCTAGATACTGAAAAAGTTAGAATTTGCGAATTTATGGAGCCTTTTTTGTGCAGGTTCATGTTCTGCCGCGGGAAATCTTTGGTAAGTCCACTTTCGAGCTGTCGGTTACACTAATGAAGTGGCTTCCGGTGAGGCTAGTAGACAAGATCTTGCTTACTCTGGCTAGGGTTGTGCTCGGAGATTTGGAGAAGTACGGGCTTAAGCGGCCAAAAACCGGCCCATTGGAGCTCAAGAACACAAGAGGGAAGACCCCTGTTTTGGATATTGGAACTCTGGAGAGGATCAAGTCAAGGGAGATCAAGGTTGTGCCTGGAATCAAGAAGTTCTTCCCTGGCAGAGTTGAGCTCATTGATGGTCGGGTGATTGATGTTGATTCGGTTATTTTCGCCACCGGTTATTGCAGCAATGTCCTTTCTTGGTTGCAGGTAATGGCCTTTTCTACTCAGCATGTCTAGTTGACTTTTGGCGCTCTCATATTAAGACCAAGATAATTGTAACTCCTATTAATTAGTACAGGACATAATCTGTATGTCGTTCATATATTACACTTATATATTAGAGATAGAAAAGTATAGTGGGCCCTTATGGAGAATCGTAGAGAGAGTGTGACAATTGACATGTCATGGGACTAGTGATATGCCTATCACTAATATCTACCAACGCAATCACTAAACTCTATTAGTGCAGTAGTGTATACACTGACAGTTGACTCTACAGATAGCTGAGTACACTGACAGGTTTGTTGTAACTCTCTCCCTCATCCGTACAAGTTATTCTATTTAGACTATTTGAGATTATTTCTTTACATATGTACTCTCCGTCCTTTTCTTTCTCATGTTAATAAAATAACTAGGGTCCCACTTATGACACTTATGGAAGTTGGTGTAATTGTTAGTTCACATGTTAGTTAGAGACGGGTATGGGCATTTGACTAAGTTTGTATTTGTATTTCGTTCTTTTATTTTTCAGGGAAGTGATTTTTTCAACAAAGATGGATTCCCAAAGGAAAAGTTTCCAAATGGATGGAAAGGGAAGTCAGGGTTGTATGCAGTTGGGTTTACAAGGAGAGGGCTCTCTGGCGCTTCTTTGGATGCAGTGAGAGTAGCAGAGGACATTAGCAAAGTTTGGAAGGAGGAGACTGTTGCAGCGGGGGGCTTCACAGACACAGAAAATATCTATACAAGAGTGGAGAACAACAACACTGAATAAACATAGTGAAGACAAAGAGAACAACACACAAGCATTTAACATGGTTCCGTCAGTATGACCTACATCCACAGGCGAGAACAGTAGAGAACTTTACTAATTACAAAAGAGAATATTACATAGGGAGATCACTCTAATGTCTCACTAAACTCACACAAAGAAGAGAACACTCAAAGAAAATTCTCTTTTTCTTTTCTCTTCAAATCTCTTTTTCTTCTCTTTGTTCTGAATTTCTGTTCGATGCTCTAACCCTTCACCACTCTCCTCTATTGATAGCCTTCAAATAACAAATCTCCACATTGACTTTGAATATGAAGATCTTCTCTTCACTCTTGTTGTCTCGCTAAAAGCCCCTTACGGGCTTAACCTCCGATTTGTTGAACTCCAAGCAATTCAAGACAATGCTCGAACTTGTGCGAAGGTACGAGCTTCGTCATCATATCTGCTGGATTATCTGCAGTATTAATTTTTTTCAATCTTGATGACTTTAATTTCTCTGATAAATAATACCTGACATCTATATGTTTAGTTCTTTCATGATACATCTGATGCTTCATCAAATGTATAACACTCTGGTTGTCACAAAATACCGTAGTAATACCTTGATATAAGCCAAGATCTTCAACCAAATCTCTCAATCAAATGGCTTCTTTCACTGCTTCTGTCACTGTCATATACTCTGCCTCTGTGGTAGACAAAGCAACTGTCGACTGTAGAGTTACCTTCCAACTAATGACACTACCTAAAAGAGTGAACATATAACCTGTCAGTGATCGTCTCTTATTCAAATCGCTCACATAATCTGAATCAAAGTAGCTAAGTATTCTGCAATCTGAGTTTATCTTCCTGCCAAAATATAAATCAATATTAGCTGTTCCTCTCAAATATCTAAGTACCCATTTCACAACCTGCCAATGAACCTTTTCTAGGCTTATTCATATACTGACACACAACACTGACTGCATGTGAAAAATCTGGATGGGTGCAGATCATAGCATACATAATGCTTTCAACTGTATTCGCATAAGGAACACAAAACTTGTACAACTCCTCCTTCCCAGTCTAAGTTGACAAATTTGTCGAAAGACGAAAATGAGCAACAAGCAAAGTTTTCACAGGCTTAGCATCAAGCATGTCAAATCTCTCCAACACTTTCTTGATGTATTTCTCCTAAGATAGGAATAAACTTCATTCTCGCATGTTCCTGTGGATCTCCATCCCCAAAATATTCTTTGTTGCTCCCAAGTCCTTCATCTCAAACTCATATTTGAGTTGAGATTTTAACTCATTGATTTCTGACATATCTTTAGCTGCAATCAACATATCATCAACATACAAAAGTAAATACACAAAAGAACCATCATTGAGCTTTTTATGATAAACACGACTATCATATTTACTCCTAGAGTAACCATGCCCAAACATGAAAGTATCAAATCTCAAATATCACTGTCTCAGAGATTGTTTTAACCTATAAAGAAATTTCTTCAACTTGCACACATGATCTTCTTTACCTTCAACAATAAACCCCTCTGGCTGATGCATAAAGATCTTCTCCTCAAGCTTGCTGTGTAAAAAAGTTGTATTCACATCAAGTTGCTCAAGCTCTAAATTAAAATGAGCAACCATAGCAAGCAACACGCGGATTAGATGTATTTTATAACTAGAGAGAATACTTCATTGAAGTCTACACCTTTGGTCTAACTGTAGCCTTTAGCTACCAAGCGTGCCTTCAATCTTATAGAATCTATATCCAGAGTTCATTCTTTCTTCTTGAACACCCATTTACAGCCAACCATCTTTTGTCCCCTTGGTGGCTTCACTAACTCCCATGAATGGTTCTTGTGAAGAGACTCCATCTCCTTAGTCATTACAACAGTCTAATTTGTAGCCTCATTTCCACTAATAGCCTCTTTATAGGTAGAAGGCTCTGGAATCTCAAGTGACTCTGCTATACTCAAAAAATAAGCAAGCATGTCTGCATAACATTGAGGAGGTGGGATTTGCCTTTTTGTTCTCCCGATCGCAATATTATATTGTTGCTCTTGCGGTGTATCAGCATCTAAAGTTAAACCTTTCGTAGTATCAACTGGGTCAACATGAGCGCCCTCAAGCACTCTCTTTAAAGCTGAGCTCTCTAGCTCCACCTGCTTGCTAGACTCTGTTTGCGTCGAAAGTTGGTTTATTTATCGAATCCATTACATGTTTATCGATTACAATGAATTCAAAAGAGTTAGTCTTTTTATAAGACTTCTTACTTACGCAAATAAAATAAAAAATATAACTCTTTTCAAACACACGCAGAGGACGTTTATCATCCGCTGCTTGCGTGAGATCTTTGTCTGTGTCGGGGACGTGTTAGTCCGTAGACCATCATGGATCAGATCTGATTGACAGAATAAAAAATTAATGCTCTTACTTCATAAAGGAAGTATTCGCAGAAATAAATAATCTCGACCAAGCGAGATTACTACTCTTCTCGAGATCAAAACCAAGTTTGATCCGGAGGAAAGGAGAATGAGCCTCAGATCTCTTGAACTCTCCATCTTTATGCTGAGAACGTTGCCAAGATCTGCTAGCCTCTCTTAAATTCATTATTCACTCTTCACAGGGATAACACCTCGCCTAAATTTCAGATCCCTTGTGTATAGGACCCTAGGCTTGTATTTATAGGCTTCAGATGCATCGTTTTAGGATAAGAATTAATGATTTGACGTATCCTCAGTTAATAACTGCTTAACCATTTTTAGAGATGATATCAAATAGTTGGGGATGCTCTGGAACGAAAGAATCCCGAGAAAACAATCGAAAAACGTGTTTTCAACACTTCTAGGCGTGAACCACCCTACGGTGGCTCGGAATTGTGCGAGCCACCCTATGGTGGCTTGGCCTTGGCTGAGCCACCTGGCCTTGGCAGAGTCGTTTTGATGCGACTCGATCATCTGGGGCTTTTCCGGTTCGGTCTTGTTCTGCCGTTACGCACATTTTGTCATTTCGCTGACTTTTACATTTCACCGATTCGCTTCATGCATTTCGTTAACTTAAAGGTGGCTGACGAGTACGCGGGCCACTTAGAGGTGGCCGGTGAGCATGCGGGTCACTTTGAGGTGGCTGATGAGCGTGTGTCACGGGCTTATTCTTTCACCACAAACCTCGCTCGAACCCGTGCGGCACTTAGTCACTCACTAGAATGGCTAAGTCAGCCTAATCCCTCAAACACTCACTCAAGAGAAGGGTAGAGATCACTCAAGAGTTGAAGTGGAAGCTCTTATTGCTTTATTACTTAGCAACTTTTGCTTGATACAAATGAAATGTCTTAGCCCCTATTTATAGACAAGGCTAGCTTACAATGGATAACTATGATTAGCCTTCTAGATTGTTTTTACAATCAATGGTTAAGATTGAATCTCTAGACTCTTCTCCTAAAATATCTCCGTAGATATTTACATGGGACTTTCTAGAAGCTTTTACAAGGATCTTTAGATATTTTAATGAGACTTGCCTAGAAGCTTCTAGATACAAGATATTTATCATACCTTTATTATCCAAGAAAACTCTAGAAAACCCTAGGATCTTCATGGACCCAACCATGAATAAGTAAGTTCAAATGCACCCAATTGAGCCAAAATGGGGTAGTTCGTGACATTCTCCCCCACCTAACCAAGCAATGCCCTCATCGCTTAGTCTTCTCCTGGCGAAACTTCTCGATCAAGTCTTCAAACTACCACAAGGATCGCGCAGGTTTCCAACTATTCTCACTGTTGGGTAAGCCTTTCCACTTCACAATGTTCTCTAATCTCGGGTGGTTGTTGGCTTCACGAACCATCCTATCCGCAAGAATTTCTTTGGCCTCCTTGTCAAACTCTATACGAATCCCTGTTGGCGCTTGACTAGACTTTCCTCTATCTGGATCTTCCGTATCCTGATGATATGGCTTCAACATACTCACATGGAAGACCGGATGATGCTTCACGGTTGGGGGAAACTTTACCCTGTAAGCTACGTTCCCCACTTTCTTCTCGATTGGAAATGAGCCCTCATACTTGCGTATCAAGCTCTTGTGTAGCCCTTTATGTCGATCCAATGTAGAAATCTTGACAAGGACCAAGTCTCCAACTTGATACTCCATATGCCTTCACTTTTTGTCGGCTCATTTCTTCATCTTCTTTGCCACCTTGTTCAAGCACGAGCGTGCCAATTCGTTATGATCTTTCCACCTCTTGGCAAATTGGTAAGCGGCTAGGCTATTTCCCTTATAACCTGTAGCAATAGCGTTTGGAGTGAGTGGTTGCTGACCTATGACGATCTCGAATGGGCTCCTCCCGGTAGACTCACTCCTTTGCAAATTGTAGGAGAATTGGGCTATGTCCAGTAGCTTTGCCTAATCCTGCCAGTTAGCACTCACATAGTGTCTCAAGTATACCTCCAACAAGGCATTTACCCCCTCCGTCTGGCCATCTGTCTGAGGGTAGAAGCTAGTGGAGAAGTTTAGATCTGACCCCATGAGTTTGAAGAGTTCCGTCCAGAACCTTCCTGTGAAGCGGCCATCCCGATCGCTTACGATGGACTTTGGTATCCCCTAATACTTTACCACGTGCTTCAGAAATAGTGGTGCCGCTACCTTGACTGGACACTTAGCTGGGGCTGGAATGAAAATGCCGTATTTAGAGAACCGATCAACTACCACCATAAGAATGCTGCATCCATCTGACTTGGGTAGACCCATGATGAAGTCCATGGAAATACTTTCCTAAGGTCGCTCAAGAATAGGTAATGGTTCTAACAATCCGACCGGCGTTCTCTGCTCTGTCTTGTCTTGTTGGCACACAAGACAAGTCTTCACGTAGGCATCAACATCATCCCTTATGCGAGGACAATAATACATCTCTTCTATAAGAGCTAGAGTTCTGTGCACACCTGGATGTCCCACCCATTGAGAGTCATGACATTCTTTAAGGATCTCCCGTCTTAGATTCCCGAATAGTGACACGTACACCTGTCTCCCTTTGGTATAAAGAAGGTCTACTTCTAGCCAGAACCTTCGGGTCTTGCGTTCTTTTGCGTAGTCCACCATGTTCTTGGCTGTAGGATCATGAGACAAACCTTCCTTAATATGATCAAGTAAGGTGCTCTGAGGATGACTTATCATAACAGCAAGTTCCGTCTTCTGGCTTAACGCATCTGCCACTAAGTTGATTTTTCCCGGTTTGTACTCGAGCACATAGTCAAACTCCCACTAAGTTGATTTTTCCCGGTTTGTACTCGAGCACATAGTCAAACTCTGCCAAGAAATCCTGCCATCGTGCCTGCTTAGGAGATAACTTCTTCTGAGTCTGGAAATAGCCGGTGGCCACATTGTCTGTCTTCACTATGAATTTGGACCCAAGTAGGTAATACCTCCAAACTCTGA